AAACATAAGGTCCTCATGATTATCATCAATCTACCATTAACATAAAAACCAGCATTATGAACATGGACGGCGATAAGGAATTACTATTCAGTTAAATTTCTAAATTTAGTTCAAAACATCACATAAAACTTTTAATTTAGTTATATGACTCCAGACTTTAAATACCGATATTTTTTAGTTATATGACTTCAGACTTTAAATACCGATATTTGGTATAAATAATATTCAGAAAATGTAAACTATAGATATAATGTAAAATGTGTTGTTTCGTAATTAACATAATAATAATAAAATAAATAGTTCTATTGTCTTCTTTCCATGATGTAAGTTGAGGATTTCTATAAATTAAAAAAAAAATCCGATTCTTTTTTTGCTTTTTCCTTTCCGCAAGTAAATTAAACAATATTAATTATTTAATTCACACCAATATTCTTAGAAAATGCTATCTACTAATAAAGTTCAGTAAATGCTTTTAAAAAGGTGGATAATAGTATATCTTTGAGTGAAAATAAAATAAAGTTTGAAAGCATGGCCCCATATGATTTAGCCAATGTGCCTAATGATATCTAAGGTTCTATTAACATTGGCCATATTAGCGAATGGTCGGGCTGTGAAGCAACATTATACTTTATCTAACGAATAATATGATGAGTTTCTGTTCAACCACTATGGGATGGTTCATGAAAATATATGTAACCCCCTTCACCATTAGACTATGAGCAAAAATATAGAAGACTATATACTACAATGATTAAGGCCACTAACAAATTCCGGCGGCAGATTAAAAACCTATTCAAATTAATCAGAACTTCGAATATACAGTTTATAAAAATTTCCGGGAATTTGAGACTAAGCTTTAGTCATCTTTGGTTTTAAATATTGCGTAACAATTAAAAAACACGCTATTAGTTTATTTATGCATCATCTTTAGTGGTATTCCCTTTTCTATTGTAATCATTGTTTTGAATCTTTCATTCGATGTGGTCACGCCATATCTCATCTTCTCAGTTGGTCGTTCGTCTCCTTATTTTCTTTATTAGATGAATATCAACTCATTTTGAATATGCACATTTGATTAGTGTCTAGAGCGAGATGCATGCACTACTTATTCTTTCTCCTAACCCTCCACCATGTAAGATGCATGTTTTTAGTTGCTTTTACAATCTCAGTGTCTAAACGAAATAAAAAAAATAAAGACTAAAAGTAATTCTCAAATTATATTAAGAAAAGAAAACCAGAACAATAATGATGGATACCACACATTTGCATAAAATTTTAAATGCATCACTTTCGGTATGAAGTTAAAGAGAAGAAAGGTCTGAAGAAAGGGAACTCAATTATAATAATATGTTTTATGAAATAGACTAAATAAAAAATTGAACCAGTTTTAATGATTAAAATTTAGGTTTATATTACTACTTTTTTACTGCAATCATGATATTCATTTATTTTAATTATGACAAGAAAATCTATTCCTACAAATCCCCAACAACAACTTAGATGTTGATGCTCTTTTTCTTTATATCCAAGATAATTAATCAATAAGGTTTAAAAAGAGTTACGTTAGATACTTACCAACAACGGAGACTTTAATATAACTTAAGCGTAATTACTGGAGTGTAATTTCGGCGCAGAAATTTAAACTTGATAAAATGTAAAATAGAAGTAAAAAACATTGTATAACCGTTATCAAGATGGAAATGCGCAAAGATCATATATCAACTTAAGATTCATTAACATTTAGACCAAAAAAAAAAAACTTAAGATTCATATAATACGTAATGAACGGTCTTTAAAGCAAGTAAGAAATAATTCTTATAAAAAGTTACAAATCATCAATACCAAAAAGAAAAACCATTTGATTATATTTATTATTTATTTTCTTCCGGCTTTCGTTTTAAGGTGTAAAATTGTTGATATTTGTCCGAAAACAATATATTTTTTTTTGACGTCCTTAAATTATTTTTATTCATAATTTTAAGTGTTATTGTTTCTGTTTCTATTATACCATCTAAACATGAATATTATTAACCATCTAATACAATATAACTTTAAAAGTAGTTTAACTTAGATGATCTAGAGCGTAATGAAAATAATATACTGATTTAAGGTTTTTAGGACATCATTATTAGAGATTTTTTAAAGTTAGATATTTCAAAATATAATCAATTTTAAAATCTATTTGAGAGATCTAAACGAAAAGCTTGTGGGATATTTGTATAAAATAACTATTCAAAAATGAATTTTAAAATTCATTTTAAACTCAATGTTGTTGAATTTGTCATTTCATAAATTATTATAAAATTTACTGTATTGAAATATTTTAAATTACTAGTTTAAAAAGTTTTCTTGTGGTCTTAGAGCATCTCCGAAAGAAATTTTATAATTTCAAATATATAGTTTTTTGGTTTTTACAAATAAATTTTAAAACTTCAAATTTAATCTTTTAAGGTGTGAAACTTCATATTTGAAGTTTCAATAGTAAAAAAATTAAATTTGAAATTTCATTTTTAATTGTATTTTGGTCCTTATAATTACAAATAAAATCTAGAATTTATAAGTATTTTCTCTTTTATTGTTTTAATCCTTAATATTTGTATATCTCATAATATTTCAAATTAAGTTTTTCTGTTATAAATTAAAAATTTTTGACATAAAACTAAATCAAAATTTTAAAATAAAGTTTAAAATATTTGCTTGTAATATAGTATTTTTAAAAATTTTAAATTTTAAAATTAAATTAGACAACAAGAATATGGTAATTTTCTTGTAGTTAATATTTAATTATGTATTTATAGTTTTATATTTTAGTGTAAGACTTTACTAATTAATATTGTTGTATAATATATATATATATATATATACATAAATGTTTTAAATTTATATATTTTTTATGAATTTACATTAACTATGATAAATATAAGGATCATAATGAAAATATAAATAAGAGAAAAACATATTAAAACTTCAAATATAGAGTTTTGAAAACTTCAAAATAGAGAATGTTTTTGGAGATGTTCTTAAAATACTTGGATGAAATTTTTATTTTATTTTTAAAAGTTTAAACTTCATAATTTAAGTGATATCTAAACATTTTTAACAAAAATAAATTAATTTGAATGCATTTAAAATAATTTTAAACGCATTAACATTTGAATCATTTCAAACTATAAATTAACTACATTTCATTTAATATTAATCGGCACGAGCCTCTACACCATTCAATTTTACTACTGCCGACTCCACATTGAAATTTTCTTTGCTTCCACAAAAAAAAATTCATAAAAAATACTCTATCTATTTCGGATTACATGTTGTTATAGAGAAAACTTTTCGTTTTAAAATAAGTGTTGTTTTATAGTTTTGATACATAATTTATTAATTTATATACTTTTTTGGTTAAATTGTGGTTAGATGTTGTATATAGATAATTGTGTTTTTATTTTTAAAATATGAAAAATTAAATATTTTTTAATCTGTGTGCAAAAATTTAAAACGATAACTAAAATGAAACAGAGGGTGTAGTATTCAGAAATCTTTTGAAAATGCTACTTAACGTAGATTTGATTTTCTCTCTCTTTTAACAATTTATCCCACATTCGAGTAATCATTTTTCATTGTTGGACCTCTAGCCAAATGGTTGTAATCACCGATGGAATTATTATCTGGCATTATTGGAAAAATATGATTATGGTTATGTATATTTTTAAGTATAAATTAGGGTCTAATAATTATTTTTTTTTGTAAATCTATATCTATATAATTTTTTAATTTTTTTTTTGGAATTCTACGCAGGTCCAACTCAAAAACAATTTGAGCCCTTGGCAAAATAGTCAATTTTTTTTTACAATATAACTATAATAACATAAAAATTTTGGGTCTTCGTTTCTGAAAATTTAACAAAAACAAACTCTTTTTAATACTATTATGCAAAAAATATTTCAAACTCTAAGCACATGCTCCCTTTGGCTACCTTTCTAAGCCGGACCTGATTCTATTGTAAACATTTCATTTCTTATGTTCTAAGATCGGTCCTGATTCTGATCCACATCACACAATGTATCATGATACACAATACTTTAAATATACTTATGATATATAATCAACTTATATTTATTAAAGAAAAGTTTATTCAGTTTTGTAGGTTTCAGAATTATTGTAGAGTGAAATATTATATACTATTTTCATGTATTTTTATTGACTGTGATGTCATTGAAAGTTTATAGTTTAAATTATTTTTCTACCAAACATTTTAAAATATTTTTTATAGAAATCTATATGGGTAAATATTGTATTAAATACTATCCTGTAGAAGAAAATCTAAATATAGTTAAATATTATAGTATATCCAGATCAATAACGAACGTGTAAATCCATGCTAAAACAAGTTAGAAAACATGCATATTACATGGCCTAATTTTAACTTCACATCTGCATAAAATGAATGGATAGTGATAAACTTCTGCTTACAATTTTTTTATTAAATAAATATATACTGTTAAGGGAAATATATCTACCTAGAATTGATAATTCCACAATATATATACTAAAAAATTTCAGCAATACTTACACTTATATTAAGAAATCTTCACTATATTATCACTCGCTTCAAGAGTTTTGGAGTAGATAAAAATTGAGGATTTTATCATATAGAATCAGCCACAATTGAATTTTTCTTTTTTTTCTTTGTCGACTTCTAGCCACAATTGAATTTTATTCTGCTTTTTTTATTTCTTTTTCTTATTAATTAAATTAATAATGGAGTAACTTGAATCCAAAAAGAAAAAACCAACTTTGGGAAGCAGGGAAGTACGCTACGTGTCAGGGAGGTATTAGGCGCTTGTCAATTTGTCCAGACGTCCGTGTTACGGTAAGATTTTCTTCACAAATAAACAGGTCCACATGTACCTTCTCTCCTCTCTTCTCCTTTCTCGCGTCTTGTGGTTAAATTCTCTCTACCAGCTGACCGTTTCTTCACTCTTAAAAATCGAAGCGAACAGATTCACTCCTAAGGTTTATTATCATGCCTTTTCTCTCTTTCTCTCATTTCGATAATGGCGGATTTGATCTAGGTTTTTGATTTATCACAAAACACCGATTCTCCGTCCTTATTATCTCCGTTGAATATTTAATTCGCGATATTTTCGATCTTGATCGGATTTTTCTAGATCTTAGGATCCGATTCAGAGCGTCTAATAATTTTGAAAACAGATGAAAATGTGAGATTTAGGGTTCTTAATGATTTGATGTCAACGGAGACTTCTACAGATGTGGTCGGTGATTTTATTGTTAAGAATTTGATGTTGATTTAGGGTTTTTATTTACATTATTTGGGCGTTGATCGTATTTTTATATCAATGAAGACTTTGTTTGTAGATGTGATCGATGATTTAAATTAGTAAATAAAAATTTTGGTATTTCAGGTGCAAGCTTGAGCCTGAGGTTGCAGTCACTGTAAAGAGTATCTTCATTTAGTGAATAAAAATGTTGTTGGACATGATTCCAGTGAAACATAGGTCTATGGACCGTGGTCAGAGGTATGGAAACTGATGAGCAGTTTCTTTGGGTGATGATCTAAATCTAATCTGGAGTAAAAGAAAGCCGAAGACGTTTTGTGTATATTTTTGTAGATAATTAGGCTTTTTTTCTGAAAAGGATTTGATTGATTGATTAATCATAATGGCTATTGCTGGCCTGCAAAATATTCTGGCCATCAATTCATCCTTCCCTCGGGACACTAGACAAATGGAAACCGAAGGAAGACGTGCATCCTCACTCCTACAGATGTGGAGGGAACTTGAGGATGACCACGTGACTGGTCATCCCCGTGAGAGAAGGAGTGGCCCTTCTTCTCCTTCTTCTATTGTCGTGAGAGGAGATGACAATAACATTAGTGGACATGATGTCGGCATAGATAATGTGAATTTGGGTGAGAGTGGACTTGGTGGATGCTCACCTACCCGAAGTCATAACTCTAGTGACGATCACAGCGAGCACTCTTCAGATCTTGGGATGGTTGAAAGGGAGAGAGTTAGGCAAATCTTTCGTGAGTGGATGAGCCCTGGGACTGGTGAACAAACTAATGCTCCTTCCCCTACTACTAACGGCGCACGAGCAGAATGGCTTGGTGAAACGGAACAGGAAAGGGTGAGGATCATTAGGGAGATGGTTCAGATGAATAGCCAGCAGAGGCCTGTTCTTGGTGATTCCAGGGAGGAACAACCTGCTGAAGTTGCTAACCAGATTGAAAGAGTACTTGATGGAATGGTTGTTAATGCGAACTGCACTCAGAATGAGCATGCTAGAAGAGGTATACGCAAGTTATGTGGTCGGCAAGTGTGGGTGGATATGTTGAAAATGGCTGAGAGGGAAAGGCAGAGAGAGCTGCAGGGGTTGATGCAGCATCATGCTGTGTCTAACTTTGCTCATCGCAACCGCATTCAGGTTGGTTCATAATGTTTTGATTTTATTTATACTGTTTCTTGGCTGTCTGTTACTTGTCTCTGTGACTAAATAAGCAAAATAAGACGTAATATATTTACACTTAGTGTATGAAGATCATTTCTCACTTCTTTATTTCCTTTGATATCTTTTTGTGTACCATTTCAAGTCAGATATAAGGTTGTTTGATGCTCTAGAAGAAGTTGACATTTGTAATTGTCTTAGCTTTATCATAGTTTGAATCATGATCTTTAATTGCTATTGCAGGCATTGTTAAGGGGGAGATTCTTGCGAACTGGTGTCAAGGATGATAAAGAGAAACCATCATCATCTGCAGCTACTGAGTTGGGCTTTCTAAGAGAGAGGCAAACTGTATCTGAGCTGAGGTAGCTAATTCTTTTGTATTACACAATTCATGCATATCTGTGTATTTGTGGAGGTTTTATTTTGTGCTGCTTCATAGGTTCTCTATGTGGCCTAATATCTCATGCTGATCTATGCTTACAGACCTTTGTGATTTTATTTGTTAAGTGATCTGATAAATCTTGGAACGTTTCCAGTCTTTTTGGGCCTAGTTCATCTTGAAGTTTAATCCCAAGCCCTTTGTATGAGGCTTTAGTTGAAGCATGTTTTCTGTTTCATCAGATATGTGCAGCTGAGCCTAGAAAATGAGACTTCTGTTACCTTATTAGAGGGATTAAAAACGTGAATGCTTACTGTGTATTTTTCCATGCCAGGGAGGAATTTATATCCAGACTGGACCGTTCTGTCTCCGGTCAAGCGAGCACTAGTCACTCGGAGACCTCATCAGATACTGAAACTGATGATATTAGAGGTGAACAAAACGAATTAAATTGTCAAGATAGCATCAATGATGCACATGGTGGTTCAGATCATAATTGCAGAGAGGCTGACAACCAAAGTTCGTTGGATGAAGTACCTGATTCCAGACACTGTAATAATCGGATCACAAGTTTGCAAGAAAGGACCGCACGTGTAGAAGGCTGGCAGGGGCAACTTCCTGAAGATATTCAAAGCGAGTGGCAACAGTCGATCAGTGATGAAATTTCTCAAAGGAGAATTGATGCTGAAGCAGACCTGATTAGCCATCAAAGGGAGGATGCAAATAGGTGTTCAACTTCTTCTATTCGAGGAGATGAGAACAGACAAGACGGTCCCTTACAAGAGACTAGCGAGATATCTTATGGACAGTCTCTGCAAAGTCCCGAAGAAATTGTCACTACTGAACCGTCAATAGATCTCCAGGAGCATCTGCCTGAGAACATCAATCTAACTTTCACCCTAGAGGAGCAGTCTGAAGAGGAGATTCTGGAAAACGAAGAATCCGATTGGCAACTTATCAATGGTGAATCCAGTGAATGGAGAGATGATGCTGAAGAGGAGGCAGATACAGAAGTTCCCGAGAATTTTCCAAATCAGTTGTCCCAGATGTCATCCGTGGATGAGGACGGAGAAGCCCATGGTCCTCTACAACCCACAGAGATGCAGGGTGATGATTCTGATCTTCAAAGCACACTACAAGACTGGTCTGAGGAACATTCTGATCAGGAGACGGTCTCAATTGGAAGGGTTGCCACATATTTTCCTCAGGACGATGATAATGGGAACATGGAACTCAGAGAACTATCGAGCAGGTAAGAATCTAGTAATAATGGCCTCATAAAGTTTCTGTATCTGATAACTTTGCTGTTTCCACTACAGGAGACGTGTTTCAAATCTTCTGCAGAGCGGGTTTAGGGAAAATCTTGACCAGTTGATACAATCTTACGTGGACAGGCGAAGCCGTGATCCTGTCGACTGGGAAGAACACGAGACTTTCCCAGACCCTTTATCAGTAGATGAACACACAGAACAGCAAGCTGATGCTCAGAGTGGTGGTGGTGGTCAAGAAGTTGATGCTGTTGAATCTCCTCCTTTATCTCTACCCTCACCAATGATTCCTCTTCAGCCGTTCTGGGACCATGATCAATCAAATTCAAGCTGGCCGGCACATGATATGCATCAGCGCATTGGAATGGTAAAGACTATTTTCACAGTGGATCCGTGTGGATACATATAGGCCGATTAACTTGATCAAACAATTTATCTCAGCAGGATTGGGACTCGATCAACGATCTGAGGATCGACATGGGAAGGATACATCAGAGGATGGATAACCTGCAGAGGATGCTGGAGGCGTGCATGGAAATGCAGCTTGAGTTACAACGGTCCATAAGACAAGAGGTTTCTGCCGCGATGCACCGGTCAGCAGACTCATCAGGTTTTTCTATCAGTACTATGATTGTACATACATTTACAGTGCACAACATGATGTATATGTTAATAATGTTTCATAATGGATGCACAGGTTCATCATCCAATGACGCTGAGAGCTACGAGTCAAAATGGGAATACGTAAGGAAAGGGATCTGCTGCATATGCTGCGAGAGTAACATTGATTCCTTATTGTACAGGTACGTTTGGACCGTTTGGACCATGAGAACACCACCTGCATCCTCTTTTGTTTTGCATTTTCACTATTTGACTTTTCTTCTTCTTGTTGTCAATCCATTAAAAAATAAAAAACAGATGCGGACATATGAACACATGCGAGAAGTGTGCAAAGAAGCTAGTGGAAGCTGGAGGAAAATGTCCCATGTGTCAAGCCCCTGTGGTCGAGGCAGTTCGTGCTTACTCTATTCTCTGACCTCACTCTTAACTCTCATTCTCTCTCTCCAGGCTCTGATTCAAATTGCTTATCAGTCTGTGTTTTTACTGATACGAAATGTCTTTATCTTTGCCGTGATTTATAGCTTAGATATAACTCTGATTAACTCAGCTCCAGACACTTATCATTTTTATACACCAAAGATTCAATAGAAACTGTTACAGAAAATACAAGTCATAGGTTAATTTCATTTTCAACTCATCTGTCTAGGGGGTGTCAAAATGGGTCATGACCCATGGATTGACCCAACCCAAATTGATCCATTAACCCAAATGAACTGTTTATTTTTGACCCAATGGGTTAACAAGTTAATGGGTTAACAGGTTAATGGGTTAACAAGTTAATGAGTTAACAAGTTAATGGGTCTATTGGGTTGGGTCAACCGTCACCCATTTAGTTTTTAAGTAAAATAAAAAATTAAAAACAAACCCATTAACTCCAAATTAAAATTATGTAATTAAACTCACCCATCATGTTTTCCCGCCAAAACCGCAAAATCACGTTTTTCCGTCAAAATCATAAATTACGTTTTCCCGCCAAAAACCGGAAAATAATGTTTTCCCGCCAAAACCGGAAAATAATATTTTCCCGCCAAAACCGGAAAATAACGTTTTCCCGCCAAAACCACAAAATCACGTTTTCCCGCCAAAACCACAAAATCACGTTTTCCCGCCAAAACCTCAAAATCATGTTTTCCCGCCAAAACCGCAAAATCACGTTTTCCCGCCAAAATCAAAAATCACGTTTTCCCGCCAAAACTGTAAAATCACGTTTTCCCGCCAAAACTGTAAAATCACGTTTTCCCGCCAAAATCGAAAATCACGTTTTCCCGCCAAAACTGTAAAATCACGTTTTTCCGCCAAAACTGCAAAATCACGTTTTCCCGCCAAAACCGGAAAATTACGTTTTCCTGCCAAAACTGTAAAATCACGTTTTCCCGCCAAAACCGCAAAATCACGTTTTCCCGCCAAAACCGCAAAATCACGTTTTCCCGCCAAAACCGCAAAATCACGTTTTCCTGCCAAAACTGCAAAACCACGTTTTCTCGCCCAAACCGCTAAATCACGTTTTCCTACCAAAACTGGAAAATCACGTTTTCCCGACAAAACTGTAAAATCACTTTTTTTCGCCAAAACCGCAAAATTACGTTTTCCCGCCAAAACCATAAAATCATGTTTTTCCGCAAATTAGTTAAATCATGTTTTTTTCTGCCAAAACCGCTCAATCATTTCTCACTAAAATCGTATTATTTTTCCCACCAAAACCGCAAAATCATGTTTTCCCACCACATAAAATCATGTTTAACACTATTTATATTAATTGGGTTCTGCAAAAAGTCCATTCAAAATTGGTCAATTTGAGTTTAGGCAAAGATGTTGGGTTAATGGATTAACCATATGACCCATTTAATTTAATAAGTAATGGATCAACCCAACTCATTTAATAAAGGGCTTATTAGCCAAATAGCTATGTTTGAGTGGTAAATTAAGTAAGTAGACATGATTTTGACATAATGTATTGTCAGACTTTTTGTCCTCTTTTTATCCGGTTATATCCCTGCAAGAAAAAGGTTACCAGTTGCATATTATAAAACAAAAGACGTGTTCATTTTCTGTGGTATATTGCAATCACATAATTCACAAAACGCGTGGAAGAAATTTATTCAACATCTATAATGTGTTTTTCATTCTGTATGAGCATATGGAACAGAAAATGTGACAAACAAACTATTCTATCTAGGTTCCACATATACTATTTTATTTATGTGACATAGTAGATCACTCAAACCGTTATTGAGAACTAAACATATAAAACCAACCACAACACCTAAATAATATACCCAAATCTCTATTTAGTAAATCTAAACCCTATATTCTAATCACTAAACCCTAACTCCAATTATCTCCTTCCCTTTCTAAATACTACCCTAAATGTTAATCACTAATCCATAACCCAAATATAAATTTTAAACCCAAATATAACCATAATCACTAAACCCTAAATTCAAATATAAATCTTAAACCCATAAACCCTCAACCTAAACAGAATGGAACTATATAAATAGCATAATACATGTTGGAAAAAAGACTAGTATGGAAGCCCATACCTTATAACTAGGGTTTATAGTGTTTAGTTTTGATCAATACACATAAATTAAGATTCTTAACAATGATAAAACAACAAACATAATTTATGCTTATGGATTGTACAATCATATTTCTATTCTATATTCTGCAAATAGAATAGTATACAATAAATAGTAAAGATCAAATATTCCATTTTACATGAATGGTCTTTCCATTTTACGTAATTTAGTAAACCCTAAACAAAAATATAAACCATAAACCCAAATATAAACCCTAAACCCATATATAAACTCTATACCACATGAAATGGAACAACCTCAATAACATAGTACTTAGTTGTTGTATTATCAAATATTTGTGATTGTATTTAAGAAGTTAATGTTAATCTCACCTCACCCGCTAAATATTAAACCCTAAAGTTTAATCAGTAAACTATAAACCAAATATAACCCCTAAACTCAAATATAAACCCTAACACCAATCATGAAATGTAAACCAAAATAGAAAGAAACACAATGACATAACATAGTACATAATTCACTGATTTAGGGCTTGACAAAAAAGCAAAAAAGCCCTAAATCCTAATCACTAAACCCTAAACCCAAATATAGACCCTAAACCCAAATATAATGGAACAAAATAGATAGAATAGTATATATTGCTGAGCAAAATAGAACACTATTTATTAATCATCAAATGGAACGATACATGATAGGGTCACTAAACCCAATCCTCAACCCCACCTTCCGAATACTAAACCCTAAATCCTAATTACTAAACCCAAGTATAGACTCTAAACACAAATAGAATGGAACAAAATAGATAGAATAGTACATATTTGTCAGTAAAATAGAATGGAACATGATATTTACATTTCTATTTTATATGCATATAATAGAATAGAATACAATAACTATTCATCTTCTTCCACATACAACAAAAATTTTCTGTAAACTCAGATACGTACAGTTTCGGTGAAGATTACCCAAACAGAGCACCACAACTTACATACAGTATATTGGAAGGATCTCCGTCAAATCACCTCACTGCTTCTCTTATTATGACGTCTTCTTTCGTGACCGACCACATCTTTAAGAACGGTTTCTCCTCCGCAAAAAAATTCTCCATGAATACATCTGGGGCATACTTGTACAAATCTGAGAAGAAATCTATTCATATTTCTGAGAGGATCTGTGAAAGTAATGAAGGCCTCATATTTCTTTTACAATCATTAATTATTTTTTTATTCTTTACAAGTTTTACCGATAGAAAAAAGGGTATTGTGGCAATATTATAGAAAAGACATGTGGTGTATCTGTGTATTAGGGAAATTGGCTACAAAATGAATTATGCTTTTTTGTCTGTCTATACAGCCCAATTCCCCTTTAATAAATGGGTTGGGTTGACCCATGACCCATTAATAATCAACCAATTTGGGTTTTGGGTTGGGTTGACCCATTTGACCCATTTTGACACCCCTTAATAGTGCCTTTAATTTACAGCAACATTACCTCAAAGCAAAGCCAAACGTTAGGTAGAAAATAACTTTTAATACCACATCTCTGCTAGTTTCCACTGGACGTGGTAACTGATCTATTAGTTTCCATTGGATGAAAATTTGCCCCGTTAGTTTAGGACATGAACCGATTCCTCTTCAGTATAAAAATATTATTTTCACATGTACACGAATATGAATATATTGTTTAGGGTCTATTTATATACCTAAAAAAGATTGTTTTTTATATGTAAACTGCACTTAGTTAGAGATTAGTCTACTGATCCATTCATAAGTATGAATAATACATAAAATTACTGTCTCGAGTTAAAAATAACCGTCGTACGTTACACAGTTACACTTATAAAATAAATAAAAAATGAAAAGAAAAATAAAAGGATCAACCGACAATAAATATCAACACACGTGGTTAAAGACTCAACGATCGTTCTACTCTGGTCCTCTGCCCCACACTCGAACAGCTACTACACCTCCTAACACAAGAGCCCATACCAGTACACGTGTCATCATCCACCGCCGTTGATCTACAGCTGCTCTCTGCCGACTCCTGATCCTGCAACACCTGGCTGCTGCGGCAGAAAGGGCAAGTGACGTGTGAGCTAAGCCACGTGTCCACACAGTCCACGTGGAAAACGTGACCACAGTGTGGTATCACTTTAACGGTTTCCCCTTCTTCGAATTCACTCAAGCAGATGACGCAATCCTCGATCCACTGCTTCGCTGATTTCGTGTATCGGTACACCGGCAGTGATCGTACGGCCTGAGAATGGAGTCCACTCCGGAGATTAAAACGCCGACGTGGCGACATCGTGGAAGATGATGTTCTTCTAGATGGTCTGGAAAAAGAAATATCAGCCGTTGATTCATCTTCTGCAAAGTGACGGATGAAGACGGAGAAGAAAGTCATGAAGAAGAGAGCAATCAAGAGGACGAAGATAGTGAGAGCCATGGAGGAGTCAAGTGACCAAGGCGGCCGTGACGGTGGCGTAGATGATGATGGCGGTAGAGATGACGTCGCGTTTTGAACGGTTGTTATGAGCTGAAGGAGCTTGCGGTGGTGCTTCTTACTCTCCATGACTCGTATGAACTATGAAGCAAAACACGAGACTACTTTCACTTCAACTTTACTACTTTAAACTATGTAATAGACTTGTTACAGACAGACGTATACAAATGTTAATTTTAGATATTATTACTCTACAATATGAACTAAATCTTCACCCCTACAACTCATCTTATACAAATATTTAATTTACATAATTAATAGTATATAATTTTAATATTTATCATATTGCTAATAGTTTAATATAATATCTTCAAACACAACAATTTTATAATTTGCATGTCGTAATTTAAGAATTGATTCAAAATTTAATGATATATTTTATTAAAACATGAACACCAACTAAATCTGTTATAAGATATTTATAATAATTTTAATAATTTTATTAAATTTAATATTAATTTAGATATTAATTTCTTTAAGATTGTATTTGTATTTTAGGTTTTCATCATACATATATGTTAACTGAATTATTTGTATGAATTAAATCTTTGACTGAATAACCTATATTAAATGTAATTAATTAAACGTCGTCTCCATTTAAATTATTTAACCGAAAATTATAATGTATTGTATTTGTTTTTATCTTTTTAAACTTAATTTTTCTCTTTATTATTTATGTTTTTGAGGTTTCTTATATTTTCTATTGCTGATTTATATTTTATAGCCCCAAAAATTTTGATTAATTACAATGAATTATTCAATGTTAGAACTTTTATTTGCAAATTTTCATCTATCATACGTCAAATTATATAATTAACGAGTTATTCTTAGGTTCATCCACTAGGGTGAACCTCTAGATTCACCAACCAATAGAATGGTGTTATTTCATATTTGATATCTTTTTTAAAAGAAAATAAAATCTTGTTAAATTATATTATGTTTTTAAAATAAAAATAGAAAAATAAATAAAAATAATAATATTAAAAAACCGAAAAAACCTTTAAAAAATATTTAATACTAAAACACTAAACTCTAAACCCTAATCCTAAACCCTAATACTAAAACCTAAACCCTAATCCTAGAGTCTAAACCCTTGGGTAAATCATAAACCCTTTGAAAAAATTTTAACCCTTGGGCAAATTAATACTAACCATCCTATTGGTTGGTGAACCTAGAGGTTCACCCTAGGGGGTGAACCTAAGAATAAGTCATAATTAACATTTAAATTTATGACTTATTCTTGGTTTCGCTCCTTAGGGTGAACCTATAGGTTCATCAACCAATAATATGTTGTCATTTCATATTTGATATCTTTTAGAAAAGAAAAAAAAATCTTATTAAGTTATATTATGTTTTTAAAATAAAAATAGAAAAAATAAAAATAAGATTATTACAAAAAACGAAAAAAATCTTTAAAAAAATCTTATTAAGTTATATTATGTTTTTAAAATAAAAAAATAAAAATAAAATAAAAACAGTAATAACTGCAAAAATAATTTAAAACACTTTCTTTTATTATATCTTTAAAATGAAAAACAAATATTGTTACATTATATTACGTTTTTAAAATAAAAAGATAAAAATAAATAAAAAGTGTAATTGGTTAGTATTAATTTTTTTATTTAATGTTTAAAATTTTTCTAAAGGGTTTATGATTTATCCAAGGGTTTAGAGTTTACGATTAGGGTTTAGTGCTTTAGTGTTAAATATATATATATATATATATATATATATATATATATTTTAAATTTCGTTTTTTGTAAATATTATTATTTTTAATTTACTTTTTGTACGTTTATTTTAAAAACATAATATAACTTAACAAGATTTTATTTCTTTTATTAAAAAAGATATCAAATATAAATAACACAATCCTATTGGTTGGTGAACCTAGAGGATCACTTTAGGGAGTGAACTTAAGAATAACTCTAAACTTATAACTACAATTGATAATAAACACACTGTAAATAAAATATTCACATGAATGATATTTTTCAATCAGTCATATGTCATTTTTGTTAATAATATTAATTGGTACAATATCTATTGCACTTTCAAAATTGCACAAGGTAAAAGAAAACAATTACATTTAATGAATAATATAGAATATGGACTATATAAAAATGAACTTGATTATCTTTTTGTAAAACAAAGCAGTCATATACTTCTATTATTGAAAAATAAATTAAACCTACTATTATATTTAATAACATAATCTAAATGAATTTTTAATGGACCGATCATTCATATTGATAACATATTTTCAACAATTTGGTAAAAATATTTAAATTAACAAATCTTAAAAGCTGAAATCAGTTAATGATCTTAAAAGCCGAAATCAATTAATGATCTTAAAAGTCCGGATCAGGGTAGCCACAAATATCAAAATTATATTATGTTCCATAGAAAAGACCTTGACCATGTTGACTAAAGCAAGTTAAGAATTTACTTCCTTTGATTGACAGAGATTCCTTCACTTGATCTCGGAGTCTCAAGTCCAAGAAAGAATTTTGTTGGTCCAAGATCTTTGATCTTAAAAGCCGAAATCAGTTAATGCTCCAACTCATCAACCTCATCATCATCAGTACTAGTTATCAGTATATCATCAACATATACTAATACTATCAAAAACTTTCTATTAACTCGTCTGATGAACATCGTGTGATTTCCATGACCTTTCACAAAATCCAAATTTTTGGGAGGTTGAAAATGCAGGCAGATTATCTTGCCAAATAGGCAATAAGCATTGATACTCTCTTTGCCCATGTGGATCAGAACCGGTCGACCGACGCTTCAGAACGACTCAAACTCGACCACTACTTGATTTGTTAATATAGACGTTGGTAAATAAGGGAGAGAGACGAATTTAAAAAAAAAAACATTGCCTAAAAACTTGTTTCAACTCATATATGGATTTGTATAAATGACATACTGCAGTAGGAGTTACGAATTCCCCCTGAATCTCAGCATAACCAGGAAGTACCTTCATATATATTTATTCTTCACTATTTAAAAATACCATAGAGATGTTTTTTTTCATATTTTTTACAGCATAATGCATAACTAGGAAGTACCTTCAGCTGGGTTAATATCCACTTCAGCTTTGGAGCAAGAGAAAGAGAATCTTCATAGCTACTTTTTTTACAAAATTATCAAGAAAACCCATCCTTTTTGAAAAATATATTTCACCAAAAAAATATTTTTAGGGAACTTTAAAATATTTTTGAAAAAAAAAATCACAAAAAAAAATTTCAGAAAAACTTGCTTTTGAAAAACTTATTTTAGATTTTTTTTTTAAAAAAAAACTTATTTTCGAAAATTAATTTTTTAAGAAATTTATTTTCGAAAATAGTATTTTTGGAAAATTATTATTTAAAAACGATTTTTAAAAATAAATACTCTTATATTATTCTTATAATTTTCAAATTTAATTTTTGTTTATGTAGTTTTACATTATAAATAATTTTTTAAAAAAGAGAAAACTACATAACATTTTAAATGAGTCTAAACGGATCTAAATGAGTCACTGTAACCCTAATAGATTTTAAAATCAAATTGGTGTAAATGGGTTCAGGGTCTAACTAGGGTGGGTTTACCCTTTTTTTTTTTTTTCTTTTTTGAAACAGGGTGGGTTTACCCCTTTTAACATCCTTTTTCTACGTGAGTAAACAATTGAAGCAAAGGAGAATACTACGGAGGATGTCGACGCCGGCGCTATGGGAGTCGTCGCACTCCGATCACCGGAACATCAGGAGCTGTTCTCTAGCTTTGGCCTTCAAGAGGAGAGGAAGATAAGATTTTGGCACGTACAACCTCTGTGTGAAGAAGTTTATTTGTTGATAATACATCTGGATTAAATTGAGTTGAACAACCCGCTAAATGCAAAAGCAATGGACCTACAATGAACATGGTGAAATATGAATGAATACAATGTTGGAATAGTGGACCACAATTGAAATATCAGATTTCATTGGTGCAATCAAATATTTTAACAAGCTTCAGTCTTGATTAATTTGTGTTTTTGTTTTTTCTTTCACAAGGAAGGTATGGTGAAGAAGAATGAGCAATATGACATATTATCCGTCAAAACTGATGCTTCCGAAGCTGGCATTAAAAAGGCAACTCATCACCTTTTTCTTTCTTTTGTATCATCAAATCCTTATGGAATATGGGTAAAAAAGTTTTAAATTTCTTTCCTGGTTTGATTCTGTCTCAGGCAAGGACATTTCATTCAGAAAAGAACTGTGGAGATTCTCAAGCTGTTAAAACTTTCAGGGGATGATTAGGTGTTTTCGTTCACGTTGCAACTGTTTCTTTTGGGTTTGGTTTGTTGTTTACGGGAACCCTGATGGTGTAAAAGCTCTGTTTTTTTTTTGGTTCAAGGTGATAGGATCAGTCCTTGCGATTAAACATATAATCACATTTTTCTTGAGATTGAAGGACTGAAACTAAATGTAGCAATCCATTATGTTGCGTACTAACCCGAGGTGACACTAACATTTTTTTAGTACTGCTCTCAATGGGACTACCAAGAAAGATCTCAAGAAATTTATCCATGAATACTTGGATTAGTAGTACTGCTAGTGCTAAGTTAACTCTCCATGTTCTTGGAGCTGATCTTAATGGTGGATGCATGAATCCAGCAGTGGTATGAACCCACACACACACAAAATGGAGTTTTTTTTGTGATTGATTTTCAAACTAAAGATGATGTTTGTCTTTATCTCTTTGTTTTATTGAGTGTTTGTTTAGAATGATACATTTCCAGGTTATGTGATGGGCTTATGCATGTGGTGAACATATAACAACATAGCATTTACTTGTGTTATTGTTTGGACCTGAAAGTTGGCTACATTGCTAGTTGTTTGTTTTTTCAATGTTGTGTTTAAACCTCTGACTGAAGAGGAAGAGAAATCTAAAGCTAAATTATCTGAATGAGTAATGAGTTTCAGCTCTCACATGTCCTCTTTTTGATACATCTCCTTTACAGAGCACACAAAAGGTGAGATTGTTTCTTATTAGATTTTGTAGTGTGTTTTTATGTAGCTAACTCACTAGTATCAATTAGTTCAATAAAATGTGAATTTGGTAAAACCATTGTGCAATGTGAATTATGTGATTGATAGATGCAGTAAAAGTATTTGGTTTATTGCAATAGAAATGATTTTACTCAGTTAACATTATTTAGTTTGGCACGTTTTCTTTTGAT